CTTTTTTCAGGTTAACCTGATCATAATGGATCAATCACAATTAGTAATAGGCCGGTTAATACATCTGAACGATAGATAAAAAAGTGTTGTTGTCGGACACATGAAACGTTTTTCGTTATTACGAGTTTCATTTAAGTATGAACTGTCCGATAAGCAAAAGGTCAGATCATCTTCCCTTTATCTTTCAACGTAAAGTTTACCGAATTAATGTTGCCATATTTTATATTGATAATGTGGCAAATTTTATTTAAATAAAAAATGTATAACGCAAATCGTTTATTTTATATTGAAGAACGAAATTTTAACTTTACTTCACGAAATTAATTACAAATTGGTTTTGTTTATTATTTTTAAACTAAAATGAAGATGCCATTGTGAAAAAATGCAGTGACTACCAGTTACTTTAAAAAAAAGCTTGCCATATCTCTGTAAAAAAATCATATATTTTAAAGGAAAGATGTAATAATGAGAACCTGATAATGGGAACTGTGTTCTTCACTTTTCCTAAAGTAGGGGTAAAAAGTAGACTATAAAGGAAAGATATAAGAACGGGCCATAGCATGGTAAATATACGTTAAATTTATTTTGATTGATTAATTATCACAAAAAACCTAGTTAAAATCGATGTATGTAAACACGCTATTATACGGTTTATTTATATAGAAGACAAACAGCAAGTTTTTTAATGGAAAAATGTTTGGAATGACCCATACGTAACCCAGGTTATGTTAAAATATTTAAAGGTCTTATAATAATAAAAATTAAATGCAACAAATGAAATGTTCATAATAATTTGCTCTGCATTATGTAATTGGAAAACAATGGCAGCAAAAATAATAATAACAACAGCAGTAACACTGAATATTATTTATAAAAAAATAAAACCTTTTTTTTCCTCTACACAAATCCAGTTCACGGAGAAAAAATCCCAGTTTATTTCAATACCCACAAAATATAGAGAAAAAAATGAATGAAAAAACACGTTCGTTTGTTCGACAAGTGTTATAATGTAAAAATACTTCATTTATAGTGATCTGTACGAGTAAAAACAAAAACAACAATAACATTATTGAAATGTGAATTTTAATGAGTATCAAATTAATAACAAGAAAAAAAAACCCACACACACACTCACACATGGAGAGAGAAAAAAACATTCATGTGATTTTTTCTTGTTTCATTTAGTGCATGAAATGGCTACAGTGGACATTTTATGATTTTCAATATTGCACTTAAAATCCGAATACCAATTCGAATTGCGATGTACTTATCTACCTGTACTTTCTGTGTGTGTGTATACAAAATAATAATCGAAAAAAGTAACATTATAACGATTTGACGACGTCAATTGTGCCACTAAAAAAAGTACATGTTTTAACTTCGTGTTGGCAAAAAAAGCGAAAAAAATACAGAAATGGTACAAAAAACAGTCATTGATAAAATAACAATAATTGCTTTCGATTTGAACTCATTATCGATGATTTAATAAATACCATTCATAGAACTGACACTATATTCCCCGTTCGATTGTCCACCACCACCACCATCGTTTTTTTTTTAATTAATTTATGATATATAGTTTGTGGAGGCGAGTGAAAAAAAAAAACGTTGGGAATTCGAATTTCAAGATTAGCGGAAAAGAAAGTGAGACTGGCGTTCGTCCACCTTTTTACGATTTTCCCGTGTGATTTGTGATTATTGATTTAGGGTGTTTTGATAATCAGAAATAGGTAAATAATTTAGTTTTCAAGGGCTATAAATTGTCGACTTAATGATTTCAGGGCAATTTATGGATACAAAACGTGTGGAGAAATTTATATTTTTATATTGAATTTTTTTTATTGTCTTCAGATAAGAGGATTGTCTTTTCATAAGGAAGGCCAGGAAATCTTGTTCCTTTGACAGAAGATAATAAAAAGTTTTCTATAGATGACCAAAAAATTGGATTTTAAAAAAGAACAGGGACATATTTAATGTGAGATCAGGGTTTCCTCTAAAGAAGAAGAACAGGTATTTTCGTATACCAGAACAAATGTCTCCTTTAGAAGAACATTATTTCTCTTATGTAGAATATCGGGAATTTTTATCGAAATACCAGTATTCCTCGAGAGGAGCAGTGATCTATTTTCAAAAAACCCTGTCTTCGGTTATAGAATATCAGGGTTCTGCAATAGCAGACCAGGTCATTTCTTTAGAGAACCACTCCTTCTACTTTAGAAAATGAAATACGATCCCATAGAAAATAAAATCCTGATAATAAAATTTAGGTCTACAGGATGAGATAAAAACAACTGAAACAAAGTCAAATGCCATAATTTTTAATTTTTTTTTTTAAATTTTAGTGAATAAGAGCAAAAAAAAAAAATGTCGGAAATAACATCAAATTTTAGAATAAGTTTAGATTTGTTCGAATTGGTCACCTTTGGCAGGAATTATGGCCTTCAAACGGCCAATGAAACCGTCACACGCTGCCTGAATGTTGCTCTGCTGTATTTTGGCTCGTTCCCGGCGAAGCGCTTGCTTGAGATGATCGACACTTTGGTATTTTTTAGTGAAAACTTTGCTTTCCAAAATACTCCAGACACAACAGTCCAACGGATTGGTATCCGAAGATTTTGGTGGCCGGTGCTGAGTCCTGTTGGAATGTCCAAGGTCTGCGGCCAAAATGTTTGCGTGTCCAAGGCTTTAATACACCATCCAGAATATTTTCGCTACAATATTCGGCATTTATTCTGACGCCACGGTTTAATACGAGCGGAGAGCGACCATCGGCTGTTATGGCGGGCCACACCATCACCATGGCTGGCGCTTGAGTTCTGGTGGCCAACCGAAGGTGCACATTTTCAGCTGACCTCTTTGACTAGTAAACACGGACCTTATCTACTTTTCTTGGGACTTGGAGAATTGGAACCTGCCAATTTTTATGATCCGGAAGTCTCTTGGGGACCGGATCTATTACTATGGAAATCGCGGTTTTTCTAAGGAAAATATGTTCTTCTTCTCGTTGGTTAGACGACTTCTTTTCTAGGGCGCTAATTTTTTTCTTTTCGGTTTTTGATGTTATTTTCTTGGAGATCAAGACCCCTTCATGAAGATTACAGGTTTTTTTCCCAAATCTAGCGCTTTTCCTTGACGAGAAAATCTCTGAAGTATCAGGATTTTGCCTATAGAACATCCAGGCCTTCGAAGCCAGGTCACTTTCTTTTCAAGATTAGATGTACTTCTTTTACAGAACACGACCCCTTCTTTAGGATAGCAGGTCTTTTTCCATTGAAAATGGAGCTTAATCTATAAATGCAGGGTTTTTCCTCGAGGAGGCAATTTTTTTTATTGAGGATCAGGTTTTCACAGAGAGGAAGGAGCCGGTCAATTTTCAAAAACTTCTTTAGGTAATCTGAGCTACTTTTCTTGGAGGCGATATCTGTTTTATAAAAAGAAGCCTCCCACTCTTGGGGACCACAATGTCTTCTCTTTCCTCTTAAGGATAGCAAATATTTTTCCACTGAAAATAAGACTTAACCATTAAATCCATATCCTAAGCTTTCCTCGAGGTCATTTTCTATTGAGCATCAGGTTTTCATCTATAGAAAGAAACCGATCTATTTCAAAAACTTCTCTGGAGGATGGGGCCTAGATATTTTTGGGGCCATGTCAATTGTATAAAAAAAATAAGTGTTCCTCTCTTGGGAACCCCGATGCCTTCTCATGGAGATCAGGCGAGATAAGTTCTTTTCAAATGTTATTTTTCTAAAGAAAATCAAACCTGCTTCATTTGGGGACTAGGGAACTCTTCTCTTGGACATCAGGTATTCTTCTCATGGCGACCAGGTCCTTTTTTATTGAAATTTGGCTCAAATCTATTTTCGACATTTAGGATATTCGATTAAATATTCAAGCCATTGTTGTTGTATATATCTGTTCCCGCCAAAATTTTATGAAAGTCTTCTCTTGGACAGCATGTGTTCTTCTCTTGGCAGCAATTTGTTCTCACCTATAGAATGGTACAGATCTGTTTTGGATATTTTTCGAACCATTATGGGTCTATCTGTTCCTCAAAAATGATTCAATTTAAAATTCTTCTTATCCGCTTAGTTTCGACTGTAGCTTGGAACTTCTTGTATTCACTTCAGTTCCAGCAGCCATCAAATTTAAGATATTTCAACGAATTTGATATTTCTTGACAAGAAGGTTTCATCACAAGTCCACGTGTGTGTAGACCCCCCCCACACACATATATACATAAAATGCATTCAGTTACCTCTTCACAGTGGAATTTTTTCACCCTTGTCCGAGGTCATTCACTGCAAATTATTGTTGTCCCCGATAATCGCTTTTAATCGAACCTTAATCTGACAATGGCCTTATTTTGTTGTTGTTATTTTCTTTTTCTTATCAATTCGAAAGTTTGAAATCACTGAAAAGAGTTTGGAAGTACTTGAGATACACTTCGAGTATTTGTGGGTAGTATCTGATAGATTTGACATTTGGGTTTTGAGATTAGTTTTTGTCAATCACTTTCATTTTGCATTATTTTGCAGTGGTAGGGAAAATCCGGGCGATGAAGTCATTGAAAGCCAAAACATGCATTAGCAACAACTGATGGGGTTTGCGCAAAAAAATTGAATTGGTGATAGTTCATACCTTGATACAATAATTCGTTATGTAAATATTTTCAAATTTAAGATTCCGGAAGAAATCTGCCAATATTTCAGAAATAGATTATCGCCTAAAATAGCTAATAATGACAAAACCTGACCTAGCGTAATTTGAATATGAACTACATCTAAACAGAGTTATGCTCTAGAGTAGGTTATGTGCCTTATGTGACTCACCGAAAATTTAAATATAAACCGAAAAACTTCCGCCATTACCTGTTTTGGGGTTTTGGACAGGTTGCTACATCTTTTGCATACAAATTTCGTTGAATTATTTTTGTTTAGATTCAAATTAGATTCGAAATGTTTGCTTACTTATGTTTTTGTTGTACTTTTACTTTTCAGACCGCATACAACAACAAAAAAATAAATTTTATTTACTCACCTTATTCCCCACACACAAAAACTCACGCACACACATAAATCATGGTCAATCTTTGGAAAGCCATAACCCGGCGGAAAACCGATGATGTACACGAAGAAGAATCTAAATTGGCTCGAGTCTTGGGTTTGGTTGATTTAACCGCCCTGGGCGTGGGTAGTACCCTGGGTTTGGGTGTATATGTACTGGCCGGTTCAGTGGCATATAACATTGCCGGGCCTGCCGTAACCCTATCCTTTTTGATTGCCGCTGTTGCCTCAGCTTTTGCTGGTATTTGTTATGCCGAGTTTGCTGCCCGTGTGCCCAAGGCGGGCAGTGCCTATGTCTACAGTTATGTGACCATTGGCGAATTTGTGGCCTTTACAATTGGTTGGAATTTAATATTGGAATATGTCATTGGTAAGTTTTAGAGAATTTCCTAAAGGGATTATAACAAATTATTTCGAAATTATCTTCTTTTTAGGTACTGCCTCGGTGGCCAGAGGCCTTAGTGGTTATTTTGATTCGTTGATTGACAAAAACATGTCAACAACCCTGACAGAGGCCCTGCCCATAAATGTTAGCTTCTTGGGTGACTATCCCGATTTCTTGGGCTTTGGCATGGTCCTGATATTGACCTGTATTTTGGCCTTTGGTGTCAAGGAGTCGACTTTTCTGAATAATATTTTCACCAGTGTCAATATTATTACAATTCTGATTGTTTTGGTTGCCGGTGGCTGGAATGGTAAGTTTCAAAACTTTATAGCAATCCGAAAAAAACAAAAAGTTATCAAAATGATTTATGTTTTCAGCCGATCCCAAAAACTGGTCCATTCCTGAATCCGATGTACCCGAGGGTTTTGGTAAAGGTGGTTTTATGCCTTACGGTGTGGCCGGTGTCATGGCTGGGGCGGCAAAATGTTTCTTTGGTTTTGTGGGCTTCGATTGCATTGCCACCACCGGAGAAGAGGCCATCAATCCCAAACGCAACATCCCCTTGGCCATTGTCATTTCATTGATCATCATTTTCTTGGCGTATTTTGGTGTGTCCACTGTCTTGACCATGATGTTGCCATATTATATGCAGGTAAGATCTCGATGAAAATGTGGATAGTGAATTTTTTCTAAAAAAATATTCGATCCTTCCAGAATGAAAATGCCCCCTTCCCTGATGCCTTTGAGGCCATTGGTTGGACAGCTGTTAAATGGATTGTTACAATTGGTGCCATATTTGCTTTGTGCACCAGCTTGTTGGGCGCCATGTTCCCCCTGCCCCGCGTCCTCTATGCCATGGGTAACGATGGTATTATTTTCAAGCGGCTGTCGAAGGTCAACAATTATACAAAGACACCATTGTTGGCCACCATTATATCCGGTATTTTGGCATGTAAGTATAAAAATATTGAAAAAAAATATTTAAAAATGGCTCATTTTTGTATTCTGGGACTCTGGACATAAATTCTTAAGCGTTGAGGATTTATTCGAAACTTTAGATAAATTTTCTGCAAACGTAGATAACTTATATGGTGGCGTAGATAATTTTCGTTCAAACGAGGATAACTTAGATACATTTTCTGCAAACGTGGATAGTTCTTCTGGAGGCTTAGATACTATTTGTGTATACGTGGATAACATAGATACATTTTCTGCAAACGTGGATAAATTATCTGAAGGCTTAGGTGCTTAGGAATGCTTGGATAACTTATCTGAAAGCTTAGATACAATTTCTGCAAACGTGGATAACTTATCTGGATCCTTAGATATATTTTGTGCAGACGTGGATAACATAGATACATTTTCTGCAAACGTGGATAAATTACCTGAAGGCTTAGGTGCTTAGGAATGCTTAGATAACTTATCTGAAAGCTTAGATACAATTTCTGCAAACGTGGATAAATTATCTGGAGCCTTAGATATATTTTGTGCAAATGTGGACAACTTAGAAACATTTTCTACAAACGTGGATAACTTATCTGAAGACTTAGATGCATTTTCTGGATGCTTGGATAACTTATCTGAAAGATTAGATACAATTTCTTCAAACGTGGATAACTTATCTGGAGGCTTAGATATATTTTGTGCAAAGGTGGATAACTTAGATACATTTTCTACAAACGTGGATAACTTATATAGAGCCGTAAATACTTTTTTTGAAAACTTGGATAACTAACTGGAAGCTTAGATACATTTCCTACAAACGTGGCTCATTTGGTGGCGTAGATACATTTTCTGCAAATGTTGATAACTTATCTGGAGTTTTAGATACTTTTTCTGCGACGGTAGAAAACTCAGATAAATTTTCTGCAAATGTGGATAACTTATGGGGAAGCTTAGATACATTTTCTGCAAGGGTGTGTTACTTAGATACTTTTTCTGAAAAGGTGGATAACTTAGATTCATTTTCGGAAAACGTGAATAACTTAACTAAGGGCCTAGATACTTTTTCTGAGAATGTGAATAACTTATCTGAGGGATAAGATACAAAAGTGGATAATTTAGATTAATAGTTGGATTACTTAGATACAATTTCTAAAGGCTTAGATACATGTCCTGCTAACTTGGATAACTTATCTGAAGGCTTAGACACATGTCCTGCAAACTCGCATAACTTATGTGAGGGATAAGATACAAACGTAAATATTTTTTTCTACGAATTTGGATAGCTTATCTTGAGGTTTAGATACATTTTCTAAATTCAACTTCCGCAAACTGTTTGACCATTTAAATAATTCTCGCTTTCTCCCTCTTTTCCAGCTGTGATGGCCCTGCTCTTCAATTTGGATCAGCTGATTGATATGATGTCCATTGGCACCCTGTTGGCCTACAGTATTGTGGCTGTTTGTGTACTGGTCTTGCGTTATCAAGATGAAGATATGAGCGGTCGTGAAGTCACAATACGCCTACCCACTGTCATTAAGCAATTCTTCAATGGCAACTCATACCGGGAACCAAACGATTTAAGTTCGGCCATAACAAAAGTTGGTGTTGTCCTCTTCGGCGTGGTGTGCATTCTCTGGTGCAGTTTGGATAAAGTTTTTGAATTCGGTTCCACCGATTCGATTATTGCTTTGAGTGTATTGGGTGTGGTGCTGCTTTTCATTTTGGTAATCATTGGCTGTCAACCGGTGTCGTCCATCGAGTTGACCTTCAAAGTGCCGCTGGTGCCGTTCATACCCTGCCTCAGTGTATTTGCCAATCTATATTTGATGTTCCAATTGGATTTGGGTACCTGGATAAGATTTTTAATTTGGGTATTTATCGGTTATGTTATATACTTTGTGTACGGCATTCGTAATTCGACACAAATTTCGCGCAATAAAAATCATGCTGCAGCTGCTTTGGATATGCAACGTACCAATGAGGCCTTCGAACCCGATTGGAAAGTGGAAAATGGTAAGGGAATAAAGATGTAAAGGTGCGTGGGAGATGTGATGAAAGAAGTACATTTAAAGTATTTTGGCAAGAGAATGAGAATGTAACTCTAACGAAAGACTAATAACCAAGTATTTAGGGGAAAGAACAAAGATGTAAGGGACTTTTAAAATTAAGATCTGGTGTGAACATAAATATCAAAAATCAAGGCTTAGTGGGAACATGTTATTAGATATATTGGAAGTTAAAGAGTAAAAGAGAGAGAGAGAGAGAGAGTTGTGGCTTTGAGAGTCAGTGTTTGAATTTAATTAAACCGCTTTAAAAGCCTTGATATTTGTGTGTGCCAGCAACAAGATCTTAAATTGTAAAAGTCCTCTTTTATTTCGTTTAAATTTTATTTATTGTTTTTTTTTTTTTTACTTTCTTTTTGTATTTAAATGCCTTGTTTTTGTTTTATTTTGTCTGATGAAGAAGCAAAGAGAATAATGTGTATAATGAAATGAGAGTATTAACCGTTAAGTACTTAAATGACATTTTGCCAGCTGTCACATACACGTGAGGGATTAAATGCCGGCCATCTATTGCAACAATAAAACATGTTTTTTTATTTAATATTTATTAAAAACTATATAAAGTTATGGATACAAAAAACAGCCAACACAACAGTATGTGTGTCATAGCCAAATAATGATAGTTAAAATCTATAACATTGGAGTACTGTAATAAAATACTTTTAATTAATTGAAAAAAAGAAAGATAAAAAAATCATGATTATTGTTTTATGCCATTAACGCAAAATGTCATTTGGAATTAAGAGAACAACAAAAAGGAAATTTCTTTCTCTCAATGTTTTGTAAACAACCGGGGTTAATATTGGAAAGGTATGGCGGGTTTAAACACAACCAATAAATATTGTAAATATGGAGCATGCCTTCTCCAATATTACCCATTATCAGTAATTTTTTTTTTATTGTAAATGCCAAAACAATTTAATATATCAAATGTTTATTTTAATTCCCTCTTAATGCCAAGCATTTCCATGTCTGTAATTTTATTGTTTTAATTTTTTGTTTTATTTTTTGTTTATTAAATATATGATTTATTTTATGCGAACAACACACACACGCGCCCAAAACAAATACATTCCCATTTTATTACCATTGTGATATTTGTAATATACATATTTTTATTTTGGTACGATAATGTAAAAAATAAAAAAAAGAAACAAAAACTTTGCCATAGTTATAATAATTTTGGCAATTTAGAAGTAAGAATATATTGTAATTAAATGTAAATGTTTTTTTGCTTATTAGTTTTAATTTTAAGGTTTAATTATTTTGTATAAAGTATGTATTGTTTTTATTTAAGTGTAAATTTTAATGTTTAATTTTAGTTTTTGTCAAGAATTTTTATTATTTGTATAGCTAAGTCGAAGATTTCACGAATTTATGTATAAAAGACAATTTAAAAAGGAAACAACATTTTAATAAATAAAAAAATATTAAAAATGTGTTTTTGTGTTAAAAAAAAGGAATTACAAGATGCAGGAAAATGCAGATTCGGAGGAAAATGCAGATCCGTTTTTTTTATATTTTTTAAGGTCGTCGTAGAGTTTAATAAAGTTTTTGGAGTCCCTTAAAGGGTTTCAAGGAAAATTTTTTAAGAGACTTTTGGATTGGATTTTGTTGAAGCTCTTAATTCTCTGAATTGTTGTTTGTTTCAAAAGACACCAAAACAAATAAAAAGGCAGCTGTTTCGGCAAACTTAAAATCCACCAAATATCCATAGCCTTCCTTCATTTTCGTCCATAGAATTCAGGAGTGGGTTTTTTGTTCAATTCGCTTTTTTCATTCCTTTCTTAATTTTTGCCTCACTAATGGATTTTTAGACCTAGAAGAATTGATGCCACTCGCATTCTTTCCTCCTCCATTATCATCAACACCATCAACGTTTTGAGTGAAAAGCCTTTAGACTTATTAGGCGTTTCTGATGATGGCAGCGATAGCTTCCAGTCAGAATGCATAAATTAAAAGCTAAACTATGTATGGCGGATGAAGGATGGCGTAAAAGAAAGAAAAAGCAAAACATTCCCAGGCAAACTCCACACACATGTCTTAATTTTTTGCCAGATGGTTGAGGAATTAAAACGAGAGGATTTAATTTGTTGGTGTGAAGTTGGACACACTTTTGCCTGGTAGCCGCATTAAACCCGCACACATCTAAATGGCAAAGGACTTTTGTAATAAAATTTAAAAATTGTCAACAGGAAATTGTGGTAAAATGTTTATTTGGGGAGGGGAAATGAAAATATGTAATAATAATATGTTTATAAATCCAGGTTTTGCTTACCAATTTCAATTTAATTTTCCACATTAACATTTTAATTAAAATTTTACAAAACATCATGTTTAAAATAGAATTAAACTAACAATGCCAATACATGCAAGGTAAAATATAATTTATATTATATTCCTTAGTGAAATGCAAAATGACATAAATTACAAAATGTAAATAATATTTTTAGATAGATGGCATTTTTTTTTGTCCTATCCCCACTGTTAATTCAAGAGATGAAACTGAACTGATACTCCATTAAAATAAATTTGATATGGCAACGCTGCCGAAAATCAATCAGCTGTTGGCAAAATGTTTACAGCTGCTGGGACAATGAACTGTCAAACAAAATTTGAAATTGAGAATTTTGAATGACAAATTATTGAAATTTGTAAAAATTGATAAAAAATGCATATCATAACGACCTCCGATTTGTGTTGAAAAGAAAAATATATAAAAATGTACCTTTTTTTAAAAATACATTTTATTAATGTTGACATATCAATGTTCCCAAGCGTTTTCATTTATTTATTTAAAAAAAAAAAAAAAAACGGATTTTTGTATTTTTTCTTATACATCAACAATCGGATGTTGTTAGGATATACATTTTTCAACGATTTTTACGAATTTGAATAATTTTTCATTCAAATTTTCCAATTTTAACTTTGGTTTGACAGTTCATTGTCTCAGCAGCTGAGTCGATACGTCTACCTGTATTTTTTTTGCCATGAGGTTTATCAGAGTAATACACGTGTATGTTAATATATTTTTCAGGGACCATCAGAACAACTTTAGTAAATTTTGTTATACTTTCTTCCAAAAGCGATATCCATCCAAAGTTTAAGATTTTAGCTTTAATTTTTATATAGGTTTTTATGGTCAATCTGTCAGCCTATTATTATTCCTTACTTTTTATAAAAATACATTATTTTGAAAAATATACCACAAATTTTCAAATCTATTTCTTTGCATTTGCTATTTATCCTCATTTCCCCTTTAACCACAACCCAAATAAAGTAAATGAAATATGACCACAAATTTCTGATAAAATTACTTGTAAATCCTGAAAGGCAAAGAAGTTGACATGATATGTATTGGAATATTATTGCATGCATCATGTTGTTGGACTATGCCAAGGATTCCGACACACATGTTTGAGGGTTTTACTTAACAAGAGCCCATTTTGGATGTAAGGGGCTGTGGCCGGAGAGGAGATTCTTTGAACTGTGTACATTATAATTTGTTTGTATACGAAATTGAATTGATTGTGTGACTGACAGAAGGACGACACTGATGATGATGATGATATTGACGATTACGGGTATGATGATGATGATGATAAGTTGTTGCCGTATTCATCCCTAACATAAATGTCCTGTTATTTTCCTCTTTTTGTTAGCTATACGACTTGTAAGTTCTCTGGCATAAACACTCAAAAGTGCAGCCATTTAAGCTGGTATTATGTTAATATATCTCATTACATTAAAAGCATTGGCAAATAGATTTTTGTAAACACAAACAGTGGAACTTCTTTATGGGAGACATGGGAATGTGACTTGAAAAACACAAGAGAAAATGAATTCATTTTCATATAAAATGTGTTCGAGTTAAACAAATTTACCGCATGATGTCTTTTCCTACAAAAGTGCCAAAAAAAGAGAGCGAAAAATGAGCCTCTAATACAGAGTTGCACTTTCCTCTTTCCTTCGAACTTAAACTACATTATTGGTTATACCATGACATCCCAGCACAAATGATTTTTAGATGTCATAACTTATTTTTTAGTTTTGCCTTGTTAAGGCGAAGATCATATGTTTTATGATTTAAGTGTTTGTTTTCTCTTTCGAGACGAGCTTAATGATCTGAAATTTGCAGTGAAAAGGAAAGCCAGATAGACACTATCACACACTCACCACTATGCGACGCGTTTCGCCGTTGGTTAAGCGGCTCATCAGGCATATTTGATGTGGATGATGGCTTACAAGGGCCGTTCTCTGGAAAGTAGTATATATTTCGAACTTATTGCAAATTAGCATATGCGAATTATACACTAGAAATAGAACTTGAGTCGAACCTGGAGAGTTTCTAGTGTATAATTCGCATATGCTAATTTGGAATAAGTTCGAAATATATACTACTTTCCAGAGAACGGCCCTTGTAAGCCATCATCCACATCAAATATGCCTGATGAGCCGCTTAACCAACGGCGAAACGCGTCGCATAGTGGTGAGTGTGTGATAGTGTCTATCTGGCTTTCCTTTTCACTGCAAATTTCAGATCATTAAGCTCGTCTCGAAAGAGAAAACAAACACTTAAATAACTTATTTTTGTTTGACAAATACTCTAATGTCGTTTTTATACCCTCAGCCATATGACACGATAACTCTCGAAGGAAGTATCCGATTTGATCCAAACTTGGTACATCGTAATATTATTGTCGAACTTAGATCGAGTTCGGAGATGGACCATATCGATCCACTTCTTCTGGTACCTCCAACACAAAAGGTTGAAATTGTCAAAAGAAATATTTTTTTCACAGGAAGAGAAAGAATAATCCGATTTTCCTTCAACTTTGCAAATCCTAATATTTGAACCAGTGCTAGGTCAGGTGCGAAAATGGACAATATCGGTCCACTCCATCGAGTACCTTCCCACAAAGGGTCAACATTTTTAATAATTATAATTCTTATAAAATGTAATGTACGAGTCCGATGGTCTTCAAATTACACACATCACAATATTTTTATTAAACCAAGGTCTGGTTTGAAGATGGATTATATTGGCCCACTCCTTCTGATACCTCCCCCACAAAGGGACAAATTTTTAAATGATCAAAACGATTAAAAACCGAAATAAGCATCCGATCCTCTTCATATTTCACAAATCCCATTATTTCTACTAACACAAGATCTGCTGT